ACTGCACTGTAGTCCGCCTGCTTGGAGAGGCTTTGGGGAGGCTGATGTTGAGTCTCACACCACACGAGTTTGCCAAGGGGGTCTGTAGGCGAGCCAGCCTCGTCAACGTGCCCACCTTGGGCCGCGTTCACCCCCTGGATGCTCACGGAAGCACCTGCTCGGCTGCCCCCCACAGTTCAATCCATGATACGGGCGTGGGCGAGTGGGACCCCATCCCTCGAGCACCGCGGAGGGGGGGGGGGGGTAGTTGGGGGAGGGTGGGGGCTCCACCCGGGGCTGGACCCGGACTTTTCGTGTGGAACTCCTCGTGAGGTCAGAGGCTCAAGGTGAAGGCGGCCCCCGCCGTGACGCTGAGAAGAAGGCCGTGACTTATCTAATTCGTATTTATACAGAGAGCATTCGCTCAAGGCAATTCACCGTGCTTACAAAGCGACGACAGAATTAGCGATGTAGTTGTCAGGGGCGTGCCACAAGGCATTGAGGAAAGAGTGACAGCGGTAGAGAGGTACTTGGGGATCACGAAAGGGTAGGGGAGGGACGGAAGAGAGTGGAGGGGCGAGGCTCTCAGCTCCGAGCCGCGTGCGTCGCGACGTCGCCGCTCGCGGCGTGCGGATTGTGAGGAACCGGCACAACCGAGATGAGCATCGATTCCTGAATCGCGGAGAGGGCAGAGCCACGAGTGCGATGTGGGGAGGCCACGACGCCTTCTCTGGAGGGCTCCCACTGCACCGCCAGACACAGAGCCCTCTCCTCACTCTCCTCACAATCCTCCCATTGAGCGCCTTCCATTCTCTTCTTCCCTCTCTGCACCCCCTCTCTTTATCTCCATATCTCAGCGCTCTCAACATTTTTGGTATCAAGACCACTGCCCCCCACAATCAGAACTGCCCCCCCCCCACGTGTATCAGCGTGTTTTGTCACCGCACCGTGGCGCTGAGACATTTCTCCTGCACGGTATCCATGCTGCAGCCTGCGCTCCCCCCCCCCCCCCCCCACCTGCTGCCCTATCTGCGCAGCAGCCCCCGTGCTCACGGCAGACTCTGTTCCCCTGGACGTGACGCATGCGTGGGTGACCCGGGCATGACCCCCCCTCCCGCCCAGGTGTCGAGGGGGGCAGGGACGCGGCTACGCGGTGGCGGCGGCGCAGATAACGCGGCCCGCAGCCGCGGTGCTGGCCGGGTTCACGAGGAGGTCACGGATGTGTCGAGGGGAGGGGCGGGGGGCGAGGCGGGGGGGCTTTGCCACCGCTTCAGTGCAGGTAGCGATCACATAGCCTGCGCTCGTTCCGGCGAGGGTTGGTGGATCGCGTAGAGATGTTGTGCACATCCGCTGGGCTGCAAGGAGCGGTGGAGCGACGCTCGTGGTCTGGCGGCTTCCACACCTCACCAAGAACACTCGCAGGCCCGGCTCCAGCTGCAATCGGATGGGGGGGGGGCAGTCGAGCTGTTGTGTGGGGGGGGGGTCATCGTGAGAGTGACACCGCTCAGGAGAGAGACGCTGAGTGGCAGACTGGAACATCCTGCGACTGAGGTGGCAGAAGACTGAGAGCGCGGTGCGCCAACCACTGTACTAGCCCTACTCCTCACCTCGCTGCCTCACACGCACCTCCACAGACACACCTGCAGCCCCCCACCCACACCTGCACCCCCCCACACCAACCCCCCCGCCCCCCTCACCCATCCCCCCGCCTCCCATCCTGCCCCGGGCGTGCACCATGAACTTTGCCCCCTCGCCCCCCGCACCCCGCATTGTTTACAGCGGGCTGAGGGTGCGGGGTGACAGAGAGGTCATTGGCAGTGCGAGCGAGGGAGAGGCTGCACTGGGCCATGGGAGCGGGAGTCGCCAACTCGGGCTGGACGCGAAGGGCGCAGCAGCCTCAGGCGGCACGAGACGACTCGAGTCCAGCGATAGCCCACGACGTCTCACAAGGGGCAGTCACGACGTCTCACACAGGGCAGTCACGACGTCTCACACGGAGCAGTCACGACGTCTCACACGGGGCAGTCACGACGTCTCACACGGAGCAGTCACGACGTCTCACACGGGGCAGTCACGACGTCTCACGGGGCAGTCACGACGTCTCACACTGGGCAGTCACGACGTCTCACACGGAGCAGTCACGACGTCTCACACGGGGCAGTCACGACGTCTCACGGGGCAGTCACGACGTCTCACACGGGGCAGTCACGACGTCTCACACGGGGCAGTCACGACGTCTCACGGGGCAGTCACGACGTCTCACACGGGGCAGTCACGACGTCTCGCACGGGGCAGGCGATGGACGAGCGGGGCAGCACAATGCTCTTCACCACCACAAGATATCGCTCCTTTGCTAAACGTCAACCTCGTGGGAGAGAGGCAGACAGAGACCCACATGATAATTGTTTTTTTACCCTTTTATCTGGCAACAAAACTAACACCTTTTTTACAAGGAGCCATGTTTACATTGACCACAATACCTGCGGTAGGAACGCAAACAAAAAACAACAACTCTGGTAATGTATGCACTATACTCTTTGGTTCTATTGGGTAAAGTCACGTAGGTAAAAAAATAAAATAACAAAAATCACGACGTTTCGGCCACAACACAAGCGGCCTTCATCAGGTGAAGGGATCAGGCTGTCTCGAGGACAGCGCTGGAGTGAAACACAGCCACGCTCAGACCGCGGACCTTTAAGCTGTGTGCGAGCAAACAAGGTGTCTTGACAAATAAATTAGCATCAAAAATAGCATTTGATTGGCCGATTTTAGAAAAGAGGTGGTGTACGTGCCGGTGGACTTGCCGTTTGGCGCGGGGGGGGGGGGGAGTTTACCTATTGATGGTGTGAAAAGGGAATTTATAAGAGCTGCGAAAGTTTGGGGTACCACTACTTGAAAAATATACTGTACCATTGAAATTAGTTTAATGTTTAGTTCGATTTAGAACATCTTTCCAATGGTTGCTTAATTTGAAACAATCTTCTCGGTTGAAGATGGTTTCAACTTAAGCAACCATTGGAAAGATGTTCTAAATCGAACTAAACATTAAACTAACTTCAATGGTACAGTATATTTTTCAAGTAGTGGTACCCCAAACTTTCGCAGCTCTTATAAATTCTCTTTTCACACCATGAATAGGTAAACTCCCCCCCCCCCCCCCGCGCCAAACGACAAGTCCACCGGCACGTACACCACCTCTTTTCTAAAATCGGCCAATCAAATGCTAATTTTTATGCTAATTTCTTTGTTAGGACACCTTGTTTGCTCGCACACAGCTTAAAGGTCCGCGGTCTGAGCGTGGTTGTGTTTCATTCCAGCGCTGTCCTCGAGACAGCCTGATCCCTTCACCTGATGAAGGCCGCTTGTGTTGTGGCCGAAACGTCGTGATTTTTGTTATTTTATAATACCTACGTGACTTTACCCAACAGAACCAAAGAGTATGGATCCTTGCAGTCACGAAAGCTTTAAATCTAGAAATGTATGCACTGTCCTTGAAATTGATTGGTCCACACCATGTGAGACGAGGCTCTAAAGAAAGCTGTCTTGGGTGTGGACCAATCAATTTCAAGGACAGTGCATACATTATCAGAGTTGTTTTTTTGTTTGCGTTCCGACCGCAGGTATTGTGGTCAATGTAAACATGGCTCCTTGTAAAAAAGGTGTCAGTTTTGTTGCCAGATAAAAGGGCAAAAAAAACAATTATCATATTTTGTTACTGGCAAATGAGGTATCCAAGAGACCCACACCTCCATATCTTCTCCAACGCCACCAACTCCGTTGTTCTGGTGATTCGCCATGCACTGCGTGCGGGCACAGTGTAGACGACCTACTCGTTACGGGTTGACGGTTGTGGTGGTGGTGAGCTGCGAGCCAAGATTGTGACATGGAGGCGCCATGCAGCCGACGCCTCCTGTGCGTGGTGGCGCTGTCTCTGAGACAGCGACTCGGCGTGCTTGTCCTGACTCGCACGAGATCGCCGTGTGACGCAGCGCGTGCGTCACTGCATGCGGGGCACGTGACGCGCGGGCCGCTGGCGTGCGGTGGCGTCGCCGGAGAGGCCCCGAGGGAGGTCCCGGAGCCTCGAACTCGTCTGGGTCAGCCCGGGATACCCCTACCCCTGACTCACCAATCAGACACGGGCCCCAGCTCTACCCCTGACTCACCAACCAGACACGGGCCCCAGCTCTACCCCTGACTCACCAATCAGACACGGGCCCCAGCTCTACCCCTACCCCTGACTCACCAATCAGACACGGGTCCCAGCTCTACCCCTCCCCCTGACTCACCAATCAGACACGGGCCCCCAGCTCTACCCCTACCCCTGACTCACCAATCAGACACGGGCCCCAGCTCTACCCCTGACTCACCAACCAGACACGGGCCCCAGCTCTACCCCTGACTCACCAACCAGACACGGGCCCCAGCTCTACCCCTGACTCACCAATCAGACACGGGCCCCAGCTCTACCCCTGACTCACCAACCAGACACGGGCCCCAGCTCTACCCCTGACTCACCAAACAGACACGGGCCCCAGCTCTACCCCTGACTCACCAACCAGACACGGGCCCCAGCTCTACCCCTGACTCACCAACCAGACACGGGCCCCAGCTCTACCCCTGACTCACCAATCAGACACGGGCCCCAGCTCTACCCCTGACTCACCAATCAGGCACGGGCCCCAGCTCTACCCCTGACTCACCAACCAGCACACGGCTCACGGCGTCACCTCGGCACGCCACGTGCGAGTCTCCGCCTCCCCCTGGCGGAGGCGCCGCGTGCGTGCAGCGAAACGCGCGGCCCCCTCTGGTGGACGCGGGGAGGGAGGGGGGGTTCGCGTGCTCTCCCCTCTACGCGATTGACAGGCGAAATGCAACATAATTCCTTTCACTGAAATCAACGACTCGACGTTTCGGCCGAGAGGCCTTTGTCAGCGGTCGAAGCTGAGTGTTGGAGTCAGTCGAGGAATGGTCCGGGACGGTGGTGGGGTGCGGTGGAGGCAGTGGGCGGGGTCCGCGGCTCACGCCAGCGACACGGCGATAGACGGAACCGTGTCCGAGAGAGCGCCACGAGACCAAGGGCAGCAGCGTGCACGTGGCGGCGTGACGCGAGACGCTGTCACGACCCCCACGAGCCTCGCACCCCGCCCCCATGGCCACTCCCCGTGTGCCGGTAAGTGACGCGCCGCGCGGACTCCCGGAATCCGTGCGCCGAGCTCCCAGCGCACTCCCCGCCGATCACGGAGGGAGCGAGAGAGGCGTCGAGGCAGACGAGAGTGACAGGACGCGTCATAGAGGGAGAGGAAGCGTGACTGACAGACAGGGAAATAGAGACAGGCTAAGAGTCACAGAGAGAGAGAGAGAGACTCAGAGGGAGCCAGAGACGCGGAGGGCCCTCTTGAGTGACCGGAAGAATAAGAGACGCGCGCCCTGGTGCGTCTGACCACCCCCACCTGCCTCACCTGCGCAGGTGCTAGGCGATTTCACCTGACATTCCCAGCGCCCAGCTCCCTGCGGGAACAGATCAAGGTGAGAATCTGTGTGCGTTGAACTTTTGTCGCACCGTACATAGCCAAGCGTGATAATCGCAGGTGCGAGGGGATCACGGTGGGGGAGGGAGGTTGTCGGAGGGGAAGGGGGGTGGGGTCCGCATTTAAGGCTGCGTTGACTTAGGGGGAGACCCAAAACGGGTTAAGATCCGCAACACGCCAGTGATTGATTCCGGGAGTCCGCCCGTCGAACTCTGGTCGCTGGGTTCGTAGCGCAGCGCACTAACCTGTGCGCACCCGCTCCCCACGCACATATACGTGCAGTACGTGCAGCATGTCGAACTTCTTTCGCACCGTACGTAGCCAAACGGTGCCACTCGGAGGTGCGAAGACAAAGATACAGTTATGCATAGACACATTCTACAACGCACACAGGCGTACCCTTACACACAGGCACATGCACCAATCGCCATTCGCCTCGACTTGACGGCGACGTCACCACAGAGCATGTGCCAGGCTAGGTGCACACACGTGTGCGTGTGAGAGAGGGTTCACGTTCCGTCACGCCGCGCTGCATGGCGAACTCGGCGGGGTGCCAGGAGCAGTGCGGGGCTGGGCTCTGAAGAGATTCACCCCCAACGCGTTTTACAAATCATGGCGACGCTAAACCACGAAGAGACAGGAGCCGGATGGGGGGGGGTATGGAAACCCCCCCCCCAATTCCCTTGCAGCTGTGTGGGGAATTACCCCCCCCCACGACCAGCCCCGCCAAGCGACACCACGTGACGCGACCACAGTCGACCCTGTTCTGTGATGAACCATTTTCTTGGAACGTTTGACTTCCTGTTCGCCTTCCGCATTTAGTTGTTTTGTGAGATCCCTGTTCCCCCACGCACGCAATCACGAACTCACCCAAGTCGCCCGCCAACGCCCTCACCCACTCACAGAGGCACTGACCCACCCACGTGCCCACTTATTCACTGGTCCACGCACCCACCAACTCACCCACCCACGCACGCGTACATCGATTCATTCACTCGATCACGTGTCCACACGCTCACCCACGCACCCACCTGCTCGTTAACTCACAGCCTCACTTTGTCAGGCACCCTGTCACTCACCCAATCACTAACTGAGCCCCCCCACTCACCAACCAGCTCACGCATTTCTCAGCCTCACCCTCACCCGCCCGCTCTCCCACCCACGCTCACACCCACTCACTGACGGGCGACGTTTGGCACCCAACTTCCCCATTCATGACCAATGCAGTCCTCCACCCCTCCCCAGCGCCATTCGACATTCGTCGCTGTGACGTCACCACGGCGCTTGTGCCAGGCTAGGTGCAATGTGAGTTCACAAGAGGTCACGGGAGAGGCCCAGGTGCCCATTGGTTGACTGAGAGGACTGCCAGATGCGCCACCTTTTGTTCCCTACTGAGTTTTAGCCGACGGGCGCTCTGCTCGTTGTTGTGAGCGTATCTACTTTGCCCTCTGCTGTTGTTGGAGGACGACTGCCTCCAACTGTCCAGTAACGCCCTTCACGAGCCTTTTCCAAAAGCCAATCTTGACACCGCTAGTATGAGGCTCAGCAAGTCCACTCAGCTCCACATCCTCCACATCCCTTCTCTTCGCCCGTGTCGCGCCCGTTTAGCCTCCTCTATCAGGCGAAACAAAAGCTGCTTGGGCATGCGGTGGCTGGGCATGCGAGCTACATGACCCAGCCAACGCAGCCTCGCCTGCCGGAGGAATCTCGCTCATGGGACTTGGTCCAGATCTTTCAATCATGTGTGTGATTCTCACATAATCCAGTCCAGTTAAACCCGGGATGGGTTCACATGTTTTCAGCCGGCGCAGCCATTCTCGTAAAGGGGTTCACGTTCCGACAGAAAGGCGGAGAGTTCCCCGTCTCTGATGTTCGAGAGACGGCGCTCGACCTCGCAGGAACGGCTCAGCCTGGCCCGGAACCGCCCGTGCGAACGACTCACCTGAGTTTCTGTATGCGCGTGTTGTGTGTGTGTTGTGTGTGTGTTGTGTGCGTGTTGTGTGCGTGTTGTGTGTGTGCGTGTTGAGTATGTGTGTGTTGTGTGTGTGTTGTGTGTGTGTTGTGTGCGTGTTGTGTGTGCGTGTTGTGTATGTGCGTGTTGTGTGTGTGTTGTGTGCGTGTTGTGTGTGTGTTGTGTGCGTGTTGTGTGTGTTATGTGTGTGTTGTGTGTGTTGTGTGTGTGTTGTGTGTGTGTGCGTGTTGTGTATGTGCGTGTTGTGTGTGTGTTGTGTGCGTGTTGTGTGTGTGTTGTGTGTGTTGTGTGTGTATTGTGTGCGTGTTGTGTGTGTGTTGTGTGCGTGTTGTGTGTGTGTGCGTGTTGTGTATGTGCGTGTTGTGTGTGTGTTGTGTGCGTGTTGTGTGTGTGTTGCGTGTGTGTTGTGTGCGTGTTGTGTGTGTGTTATGTGTGTGTTGTGTGTGTGTTGTGTGTGTTGTGTGCGTGTTGTGTGTGTTGTGTGCGTGTTGTGTGTTGTGTGTGTGTGCTGTGTGTGTGTTGTGTGCGTGTTGTGTGTGTTATGTGTGTGTTGTGTGTGCGTGTTGTGTGTGTGTTGTGTGCGTGTTCTGTGTGTGTGCGTGTTGTGTGTGTGTGTTGTGTGCGTGTTGTGTGTGTGTTGTGTGTGTTTGCGTGTTGTGTGTGTGTGTTGTGTGCGTGTTGTGTGTGTGCGCGTTGTGTGTTTGCGTGTTGTGTGTGTGCGTGTTGAGTATGTGTGTTGTGTGCGTGTTGTGTGTGTGCGTGTTGTGTGTGTGTTGTGTGCGTGTTGTGTGTGTGCGCGTTGTGTGTGTGCGTGTTGTGTGTGTGCGTGTTGTGTGTGTGCGTGTTGAGTGTGTGTATGTGTTTTGTGCGTGTTGTGTGCGTGTTGTGTGTGTTGTGTGTGTGTTGTATGTGTGTGTTGTATGTGTGTTGTGTGTGTGCGTGTTCTGTGTGTTGTGTGTGTTATGTGTGTGTTGTTTGTGCGTTGTGTGTGTGTTGTGTGTGTGTTGTGAGTGTGTTGTGAGTGTGTTGAGTGTGTGTGTTGAGTGTGTTGTGTGTGTTGTGTGTGTTGTGTGCGTGTTGTGTGTGTATTGTATGCGTGTTGTGTGTGTGCCTGTTGTGTGTGTGTGTGTTGTGTGTGTGCTGTGTGTGTTGTGTGTGTGTTGTGTGTATGCGCGTGTTGTGTGTGTTTTGTGTGTGTGCGTGTTGTGTGCATGTTGTGTGTGTGTGCGTGTTGTGTGTTGTGTGTGCGCGTGTTGTGTGTGTGCGTGTTGTGTGTGTGCGTGTTGAGTGTGTGTATGTGTTTTGTGCGTGTTGTGTGCGTGTTGTGTGTGTATGTTGTGTGTGTGTTGTGTGTTGTGAGTGTGTGTTGTGTGTGTGTTGTGCGTGTTGTGCGTGTTGTGTGTGTTGTGTGTGTGTTGTGAGTGTGTTGTGAGTGTGTGTGTGTTGAGTGTGTGTGTGTTGAGTGTGTTGTGTGTGTGTTGTGTGTGTGCATGTTGTGTGTGTGCGTGTTGTGTGGGTGCGTGTTGTGTGTGTGCGTGTTGTGAGTGTGTGTGTTGTGTGTGTGTTGTGTGTGTTGTGTGTGTGTTGTGTGTGTGTTGTGAGTGTGTTGTGTGTGTGCGTGTTGTGTGTGTGCGTGTTGTGTGTGTGCGTGTTGTGTGTGTGTTGTGAGTGTGTGTGTTGAGTGTGTGTGTTGTGTGTGTGTTGTGTGTGTGTGTTGAGTGTGTGTGTTGTGTGTGTTGTGAGTGTGTGTGTTGAGTGTGTGTGTTGTGTGCGTGTTGTGTGTGTGCGTGTTGTGTGTGTGCGTGTTGTGTGTGTGTTGTGAGTGTGTGTGTGTTGAGTGTGTGTGTGTTGAGTGTGTGTGTTGTGTGTGTGTTGAGTGTGTGTGTTGTGTGTGGTGGGGGGCAAGCAGGGATGAGTGGGGGGAGGCACAAGCCCCGCCTGGGTCCCTGGCTCGTGGCCCAGGTGGATGGAGGCCGCTACCCGGGCCTGCTGTGGCTCGACGACTCCAAGACGCAGTTCCGGGTGCCCTGGCCGCAGGTGTGCAGAGGGGACGCGGCCAATGAGCCGTGTGCTCTGTACAGGGTGGGTGTCAACACAAGCACACGCACAGCCACATACACAACCACATACACAACCACACAGCCACATACACACAGCCACAGACACACAGCCACAGACACACAGTCACAGACACACAGCCACATACACAACCACACACAACCACAGACACACAGCCACATACACACAGCCACAGACACACAGCCACAGACACAACCACATACACACAGCCACATACACAACCACATACACAACCACACACAAGCACACACACAGCCACAGACACAACCACATACACACAGCCACATACACAACCACACACAGCCACAGACACACAGACACAACCACATACACAACCATACACAACCACAGACACACAGCCACAGACACAACCACAGACACACAGCCACATACACAACCACATACACAACCACACACAAGCACACACACAGCCACAGACACAACCACATACACACAGCCACATACACAACCACACACAGCCACAGACACACAGACACAACCACATACACAACCACACACAGCCACAGACACACAGCCACATACACACAGCCACAGACACACAGCCACATACACACAGCCACAGACACAACCACACGCACAACCACACGCACAACCACACGCACAACCACACGCAAAACCACACGCACAACCACACGCACAACCACACTCACAACCACACACACAACCACACACACAACCACACTCACAACCACACACACAACCACACTCACAACCACACTCACAACCACACTCACAACCACATACACAACCACACACACAACCACACACACAACCACACTCACAACCACTCAAACAACCACACTCACAACCACACACACAACCACACTCACAACCACACAGACAACCACACACACCACACACACAACCACATACACAACCACACTCACAACCACACTCACAACCACACACACAACCACACTCACAACCACACACACAACCACACACACAACCACAAACACAACCACACTCACAACCACACACACAACCACACACTCCACACACACAAACCCCATACACAACCACACTCACAACCACACTCACAACCACACACACAACCACACACACAACCACACACACAACCAAACACACAACCACACTCACAACCACACACAACCACATACACAACCACACTCACAACCACACTCACAACCACACACACAACCACACACACAACCACACACACAACCACATACACAACCACACACACAACCACACACACAACCACACTCACAACCACACACACAACCACACTCACAACCACACTCACAACCACACACACAACCACTCAAACAACCACACTCACAACCACACACACAACCACACACACCACACACACAACCACACACACAACCACACACACAACCACATACACAACCACACACACAACCACACACACAACCACACTCACAACCACACACACAACCACACTCACAACCACACACACAACCACTCAAACAACCACACTCACAACCACACACACAACCACACACACCACACACACAACTACACTCACAACCACTCAAACAACCACACACACAACCACACACACAACTACACTCACAACCACACACACAACCACACTCACAACCACACACACAACCACACACACAACCACACTCACAACCACACACACAACCACTCACACAACCACACACACAACCACACACACAACTACACTCACAACCACTCAAACAACCACACTCACAACCACACACACAACCACAGACACAACCACAGACACAACCACACTCACAACCACACACAACCACACACACAACCACACTCACAACCACACACACAACCACACACACCACACACACAACCACATACACAACCACATACACAACCACACACACAACTACACTCACAACCACACACATAACCACACACACAACCACACACACAACTACACTCACAACCACACACATAACCACACACACAACCACACACACAACTACACTCACAACCACACACATAACCACACACACAACCACACACACAACCACACTCACAACCACACACACAACCACACACACAACTACACTCACAACCACTCAAACAAACCACACACACAACTACACTCACAACCACATACACAACCACACTCACAACCACACACACAACCACACTCACAACCACACTCACAACCACACACGACCTCTCCCCGCTCAGCTCACTCTTCCCCCTCCGCACACTCTCCTACGACGGGCGCACTCTTGAGCGCAGCGCCGCCAGCGACCACCTCACTCGCCGCTCCGGCCACACGTGAACCCGGCTCCTCGTGCGGCCCTTGTCCCCTCCGTCCCCTCCACCCATACTTGTCGCCACCCCCCCGGCCCCGGCAGGCGTGGGCGGTGACCTCGCGTAAGTTCCAGGAGGATCGCGACGCGCCCGACCCCCCCAAGTGGAAGACGAACCTCCGCTGTGCCCTCAACAAGAGCCGCGACTTCCGCTGCGTGCTCGACGCCTCCAAGGAGACGCCGCCCTACAAGGTGTACGAGTGGTGCGCGCACGTGCCGCACGGTGAGCCCACCACGCGTGCATCAGTGTGTGTCTCTGTGTGTACACGAGTGTGTGTGTGTACACCAGTGTGTGTCTCTGTGTGTGTACACCATTGTGTGTGTGTACACCAGTGTGTGTCTCTGTGTGTACACGAGTGTGTGTGTGTACACCAGTGTGTGTCTGTGTACACGAGTGTGTGTGTACACCAGTGTGTGTCTCTGTGTGTACACGAGTGTGTGTGTGTACACCAGTGTGTGTCTCTGTGTGTACACGAGTGTGTGTACACCAGTGTGTGTCTCTGTGTGTACACGAGTGTGTGTGTGTGTACACCAGTGTGCGTCTCTAGGTGTGTACACGAGTGTGTGTGTGCACACCAGTGTGTGTCTCTGTGTGTACACGAGTGTGTGTGTGTACACCAGAGTGTGTGTGTGTACACGAGTGTGTGTCTGTGTGTGTACACGAGTGTGTGTGTGTACACCAGTGTGTGTCTCTGTGTGTACACGAGTGTGTGTGTGTACACCAGTGTGTGTCTGTGTACACGAGTGTGTGTGTGTACACCAGTGTGTGTCTGTGTACACGAGTGTGTGTGTACACCAGTGTGTGTCTCTGTGTGTACACGAGTGTGTGTACACCAGTGTGTGTCTCTGTGTGTACACGAGTGTGTGTGTGTGTACACCAGTGTGTGTCTCTGTGTGTACAAGAGTGTGTGTACACCAGTGTGTGTCTCTGTGTGTACACGAGTGTGTGTGTGTACACCAGTGTGTGTCTGTGTACACGAGTGTGTGTGTGTACACCAGTGTGTGTCTGTGTACACGAGTGTGTGTGTACACCAGTGTGTGTCTCTGTGTGTACACGAGTGTGTGTACACCAGTGTGTGTCTCTGTGTGTACACGAGTGTGTGTGTGTGTACACCAGTGTGTGTCTCTGTGTGTACAAGAGTGTGTGTACACCAGTGTGTGTCTCTGTGTGTACACGAGTGTGTGTGTGTACACCAGTGTGTGTCTCTGTGTGTACACGAGTGTGTGTGTGTACACCAGTGTGTGTCTCTGTGTGTACACGAGTGTGTGTACACCAGTGTGTGTCTCTGTGTGTGAGAGTGTGTGTGTGTGTACACCAGTGTGTGTCTCTGTGTGTACACGAGTGTGTGTACACCAGTGTGTGTCTCTGTGTGTACACGAGTGTGTGTACACCAGTGTGTGTCTCTGTGTGTGAGAGTGTGTGTGTGTGTACACCAGTGTGTGTCTCTGTGTGTACACGAGTGTGTGTACACCAGTGTGTGTCTCTGTGTGTGTGTGTCTGTGTGTGTGTACACGTGGGGAGCGATAGTGTAGCGGTTAGCGCGCTGCGCTACGAACCCGGCGACCCGAGTTCGATTCCCGCTCACGGCCTACACCAGTGACGATTATCTGAACCGGTCCCGGACCTCCCCTAGGTCGACTCAGCCTCAAATGAGTACCTGGTGCGGTGTGTAAACATTGCCACTAGGGAGACAAAAGCGGTCGGGCGTGGTGCTGGCCACCCACCCCCTCGTGTACCGTTCCGGCCTTCATAGGTGCTCGCTAACAGCACTTGCCCCTACAGTCTGTTAAGGCTATATGGGGGATCTTTGTCTTTTTCTTGTCTCTGTGTGTACACGAGTGTGTGTGTGTACACGAGTGTGTGTGTGTACACCAGTGTGTGTCTCTGTGTGGAGACGAGTGTGTGTGTGTACACAAGTGTGTGTGTGTGTGTGTCAAGGCCTGTGATACCATCAGTAGGCCTGGGCTCTGGGTTGTTCTTCGTGCTTTTGGAATCCCTGACCCTCTGCTCACGATCATTAAGGACCTTCATGATGATGGTGAGCGGGCCCGGGTAAAACTACATGGCCGGGGGTCAGAGCCATTCCCTGTACACCTTGGGGTGCGACAGGGATGTCCTCTGGCTCCCACATTATTTAACATCTATTTTGACCACGTAGTTCGTGAAGCCTTCAATCGCTGTACCGGGGGAATCTCCATTTGGTACAGAGGCTCATCGATGCCCGGGTGCGGTCAAGGGATGGCTCCCTATTGCTCAACCACGTTATGTATGCCGATGGTTTGGTAATAGCTGCTCAATCAGAGGAGGAGTTGGAGACGCTGCTGCTGAGACTGGAGTGTGCCACTAAGAGATGGGGCCTTACCATCAGCCCCACCAAAACTAAGCACCTGCCTGGGTATTTTGTACCATCGGACACTCCACCCCCACAACTCCCTATCGGTGATGGGGCAGTTGTGGAGAGAGTGGAGAGTTTCCCATACCTGGGCAGTGTGCTTATGACCGGCTCCAGTTTAACAGCAGAGGTCTCACTCCAAATCAGTCGAGCGGCAATATCTTTTAATCGGTTGCGTAACGCTGTGTGGAAGCTACCTGGTCTGTCGCTCCGCACTAAGCTTCAGGTCTTCTCGGCCACGGTCATTCCCTCCTTTCTCTACGCTTGCGAAACGTAGACCCCCCCTAATGGAACATCTTCGCCGGTTAGAAACATTTAGGCTAGCCTGCCTACGATCCATCCTGGGTTTAACCAGGCTGGATTGTGTGCGGAGCTCACAAATCTTTGAAAGATCTGGGCAAGGTCCCATCGGTGAGCTTCTCCGGCAGGCAAGGCTGTGTTGGCTGGGTCATGTAGCCTGCATGCCCAGCCACCGCATGCTGAAACAGCTTTAGTTCGGCCGGATCGAGGGGGCTAAACGGGCGCGACACGGGCTAGAGAAGAGATGGAGTGATGTGGTACAGGAGGCCGTGGAGCTGAGTGGACTTGCCGATGACTGGTACCAGCGGTGTCAAGATCGGCCTCTGTGGAGGAGGCTCGTGAAGGACGCTACTGGGCAGTTGGAGGTAGTCGCCCTCCAACAACAACGGAGGGCGGAGGAGCGACGCTCACAACAACGAGCGGAGCGCCGGGTGGCTAAAGCACAGCAGGTTGACACAGTAGGGGGCACAAGTGGTGCATCAGCCAGTCATCTCAGTCATCTCAGTCAGTCGACCCGTGGCACCTGGGTCTGCCCCGTGACCTCCTGCCAGCGGGCGTTCGACACTTCACGTGGCCTCAAGGTGCACATGGCCTGGCACAAGCGTCGTAGTGACGTCACCGCCACTTAGTGGCAAATGGCGGTTGTTGTTGTGTGTGTAGACGAGTATGTATGTGTACACCAGTGTGTCTCTGCTTGTGTACACGAGTGTGTGTGTGTACACGAGTGTGTGTGTGTGTACACGAGTGTGTGTTTGTACACGAGTGTGTGTGTGTGTGTACACGAGTGTGTGTGTGTACACGAGTGTGTGTGTGTGTGTGTACACGAGTGTGTGTACACGAGTGTGTGTGTGTACACGAGTGTGCGTGTGTGTGTGTGTACACGAGTGTGTGTGTGTACACGAGTGTGTGTGTGTACACGAGTGGGCGTGTGTGTGTGTGTGTACACGAGTGTGTGTGTGTACACGAGTGTGTGTGTGTGTACACGAGTGTGCGTGTTAAAGCGACCGGGCGTGGTGCTGGCCACCCACCCCCGATGCTCTCTAACAGCTCTTGCCCCAACAGTCTCTTAAGGCTATACGGGGAATCTTTGTCTTGTTTGTATACGAGTGGGGAGCGGTAGTGTAGCGGTTAGCACGCCGCGCTACGAAGCTGCCGACCCGGGTTAGATTCCCATTCACGGTCAACACCAGTGACGATTATCTGGCCTCAAATGAGTAGCTGGTGTCATTGTGTAAACATCGCCACAAGGGAGACAAAGGCACCCACCCGTGTGCCCGGCACTTGCCCCAACAGTCTGCTAAGGCTCTGAGGGGGGTCTTTGTGTTGTGTGGCATGGGCTGGAGAGGAGGAGATGGGCTGATGCGGTAAGGGGGGATGTGGAGCTGAGTGGACTTGCCGATGAGTGCCTCGCAGGATGGATGTGGTGTCAAACTGTCCCTCGCCACATCATGGACCCTTGCCACCCCCATTCCCCCGCTGCCCCCTTACAGGCGGGGCACAGGCGCCGGGCATCAAGGAGCCAAAAGAGGAGGAGGAGGAGGAGGACGAGGATGAGAACGGGGTGAGCTCCACCGAGCCCACGACGAGTCCGGAGTCGCTCCCCCCCTACACTCCGAGCATCGACTACGGCATCCCCAGCGAGAATCCGGTGGGGGGGGGGGGGGGGGGGCGTGCACGGGCATTGGAAGGGGAGGGGCAGGGTTTTGGGGTGGAGGCTCGAGGGTGGTGGGGGTCACGTGACGGGGCTTGGCTTGAACCCACGGGTCTGGCCGATGACCACATCCCCCTGGACGGGCACGACCAGATCTCGGCAGCTAAGCAGCGCCTAGCCTGGTTAGGCTCAGACTGAGAGGTGGCAGCACAAGCGATGGCAGTACAGCAATGGATCGAGTGGATTCTTAAATCCATCTGTGGGTATCAATCGTCCTGATTCGGCCGTGGGCAATTCAAGGCAGCGGGTGAGGAACTGATCGTAAAGCTGACACCGCTACCACCCTGATGATGATGTTGGTCATGATGATGTCACTCTGCCCCTCTAGGAGCTGAACAAGAACATTGAAATGCTGACGCTGGTGGACGATCAAGGTGGACCTCACATCGGCCGCTCCACCACTCACGCATCGACCCAAAAACTGCTTTTCGTCTTTACCGAGTCGCCCCGCACCTGCGACCAGTGCGGTTGGCTGCGGACTGCGCGAAAAGAAGTTCGGCGTAGGTGCACACGACGACCTTGAGACTTGACCCCGACCCTCCCCCCCGCACCCCGCCTCTCACCCAGGCCCGCCGCCCCCCCCCCACTGGGAGCGAGGCCCCTCTTCGTTCGGCCTGAGCCCCGAGCGCCCCACAGAGGCGACGAGGATGATTGGGGCCCCCCTCGGGGAGCCCCCCGCCCTCTCGGCGACCCACCTCGACCCGGAAGTGTGCGTGCCCCCCGTGGACGTGCCCATGCCGGATGAGGGGGGGGGCTTCCGAGCGCTCCCCCAGATCTGCCTGCCTCCAGGTCAGCGATCGTCTCCTTCGCAACATTCGTCACGAAATTTCGCTGCCGTTGCCTTTCCTTCTTCTGCATGGCAATGAAACTCCACCACGCTCTCCTCCACGCTCTCCACCATGCTCTCACTCTCCACGCTCTCCACCACGCTCTCCACCACGCTCTCCTCCACGCTCTCCTCCACGCTCTCCTCCACGCTCTCCTCCACGCTCTCCTCCACGCTCTCCTCCATGCTCTCACTCTCCACGCTCTCCTCCACGCTCTCCTCCACGCTCTCCTCCACGCTCTCCTCCACGCTCTCCTCCACGCTCTCCACCACGCTCTCCTCCACGCTCTCACTCTCCACGCTCTCCTCCACGCTCTCCTCCACGCTCTCCTCCACGCTCTCACTCTCCACGCTCTCCACCACGCTCTCCACCACGCTCTCCTCCACGCTCTCCTCCACGCTCTCCACCACGCTCTCCTCCACGCTCTCACTCTCCACGCTCTCCACTACGCTCTCCACCACGCTCTCCTCCACGCTGTCCTCCACGCTCTCCTCCACGCTCTCCACCACGCTCTCCACCACGCTCTCCTCCACGCTCTCCTCCACGCTCTCCTCCACGCTCTCCTCCACGCTCTCCACTACGCTCTCCACTACGCTCTCCACCATGCTCTCACTCTCCACGCTCTCCTCCACGCTCTCCTCCACGCTCTCCTCCACGCTCTCCTCCACGCTCGCCTCCACGCTCTCCTCCACGCTCTCCTCCACGCTCTCCTCCACGCTCTCACTCTCCACGCTCTCCACACTCGTCACACTCTCACACTCTCCACCACACTCTCCTCCACACTCTCCACCACACTCTCCACCACACTCTCCACACACGCATCACGTACGCTGCCCCAAGAGGAAACCTCATGCACAATCACAGACAACGTTTCGGGCAAGGGCCCTTACATTCGAAACGGACCGTTCAGAGCCCTGCCTCGCTGCACGCAGAGACAGACCTGGAGCTGCAGATGGAGTACCGCGGGGCGTGCGTCATGGCCCCCGTCACGGTGCGAGGCGGCAGAGGCTGCCGCCTCTACAGCGGCGACCTCGACCTGCAGAGGGACATCGCCCCCCAGTACAACGGCCTCCTGGGCCCCATGGAGTACGAGCAGGTGGGTGGGGCTCACGTGGACAAGGCTGCCCCTCCCCACCCCCCACCGCCGCCACGATAAAGCTACACGCGAGCCGGGCGCGTGGTGGTGGTGGTGGTGGCGGTAGTGGCGGTAGTGGCAGTGGTGGTGGCGGTAGTGGCGGTAGTGGCAGTGGTGGTGGCTACGCTGCACGTGGCCGCTGTAATAATCCAGCGCTGCGTGTGGAGGCAGCAGCGAGGGTTGGTGGATCTCACACAGATGTCGTGAAACTCCCTTCCCGTGGGCGTCGAGGAGGAGCCGTGCCCTGGCTCGCCACGAGAAGGCGGCACAGCAAGTGGACTAATCGCCATCTGTGTCCATCCGTATGGGGATAGGGTGTTGCCCCTTCACGGGCAAGATGTGGGTTTCTCCGGGTGCTCCGATTTCCTCCTCCCCACGGGAATAGTAATAAACACACTCCACTCACCCACCCACTCACCCACCTGGCTCACTCGCACTGCTCACCCAACCGCTCACCCTCCCGCTCACCCGCCCCGCTCCCCCGCTCAGATCGCGTTCCCGTCGCCCGCGTGCATCACGGATGGGAGGCAGCGGGAGCTCACGGAGCGCGTGCTGCGCTTCACCGAGCGGGGCCTGGTGCTGGAGGCACGGGGGGGCCGCCTGCTGGCCACGCGGCTGGGCCAGAGCCGCGTGTTCTGGTCGCGGGGCCGCGTGGCGCCTGGGGGGCCCACGCCCCCTCCGTGCCTCCTGGAGAGAGAGACCCCCACGGAGCTGCTCGACTTCCAGGCCTACATCACGGGTATGCTCACCGCACTCACCGCGCTCGCTCACCGCACTCGCTCACCACGCTCGCTCACCGCACTCGCTCACCGTGCTCGCTCACCGCGCTCGCTCACCGTGCTCGCTCACCACACGCGTAGTGGGGACAAGCATCAAGATCCCCCGTGTAGCCCACACAGACTGTTGGGGCACGGCCGCCAGCCTTGGTGTGACCAGCACCACGCCCGGCCACCTTTTCCTTCCCAGTGGCGATGTTTACACACCATAGCAGCTGCTCGTTCAAGGCCGAGTCGAGCTTGGTGGAGTGAGGCCCAGGATCAGGTCAGTTATTCCTCACCGTTGTTGGCCATGAGTGGGATTTCAACTCGAAATGGCAACACCTCCCCTGCTCCCCCACCCCCTCGCCCTTGCAGAGCTGCTGGCGTGCCTGCAGAATGGAGGGGGCGCGGAGTTCCCTGACCCCCGCGTGCTGCTCTGCTTCGGGGAGGAGTGGCCGGACCCACAGCGGCCTCGGCACAAGAAGCTCATCATGGTGCAGGTGTGTGAACCACGCCACGTGTGTCCACGCCTGTCCGTGTGTCCACGTGTGCCCACGTGCATTCACGTGCGTCCACGGGTGTCCCCGTGCGTCCCCGCGCACAGGTGGTGCCCACAGCCATGCGCATGCTGCGCGAGTTGGCAGAGGGAGCTCCACTCTGCTCCATATCGCTCAACTCGGACCAGCTTCAGATCTCAGAGCAGAACGAGAACGACAACATCGTGGCCTATCTCAGGTTCCGCCTGCAACAACATCAGCAGCAACAGCAGCAACAGCAGGAGCAGCAACAGCTGATGCAGCAACAGCAGCAGCACCAGCAGCGGCTGGAGCTACAGCAACAGCTGGAGGAACTACAGCAGAATCAAATGCAGCAGCTGCACCTACAGCTGATTTAGCAACTGAAGCAGTAACAGCAGCAGCATTGTTCGGCCATGTGAAAGCACATGGGTTGGAGCTGTCGTATTATTGATCCCCACAAAGTAGTTTTGTTTTAAACTCCCTGGACAAGGGATGGGCTGGGACCGGGGTTTATAGTGGAGCACAACAAGGTATACCCCCCCCCCCACCCCATACTGCCCCATCCTATCACCCGTAGACTCTAGAGCCAGATACCGTTAGCGAGCACTTCAGGTACTGCCACACGCACATACATACAGAACACGCACACACATACAGACACGCGCACACACACAGACACACGCACACATATACAAAGATCCCTCGGATAGCCTTTCGCAGACTGTTGGGGCAAGTGCTGTTAGCGAACACTTATGAAGGCCGGAACGGTACACGAAGGGGTGGGTGGCCAACACCACGCCCGACCGCCTTTGTCTCCCTAGTGGCAATGTTTACACACCGCACCAGGTACTCATTTGAGGCTGAGTCGACCTAGGGGAGGCCCGGAACCGGTTCAGATAATCGTCACTGGTGTTAGCCGTGAGCGGGAATCGAACCTGGGTCGCCAGGTTCATAGCGCAGCGCGCTAACCGCTACACTATCGCTCCCCACTACACATATACAGACACACGCACACACACACAGGCACACAGACACACGCACACAGACACACGCACACAGACACACGCACACACAGACACACGCACACACGCACACACATACAGACACACGCACACACATACAGACACACGCACACACATACAAACACACACATATAGACACGCGCACACACATACAGACACATACAGACACGCGCACACACATACAGACACACGCACGCACACACACACACAGGCACACAGACACACGCACACAGACACACGCGCACGCACACAGACACACGCACACACACACAGACACACGCACAGACATACAGACACACGCACACACATACAGACACACGCACACACACAGAGACACACGCGCGCACACACAGACACACGCACACACACACAGACACACGCACACACACACACACACGTACACACACACAGACACACGTGCACACACACAGACACACGCACAGACATACAGACACAGACACACGCACACACACAGACACACGCACACACATACAGACACACGTACACAGACGCACGCACACACACACAGACACACGCACACACACACAGACACACGCACGCACACAGACACACGCACACACACACACAGACACACGCACACAGACACACACACACACACAGACACACGCACACACACACAGACACACGCACACACGCACACACACAGACACACGCACACACACAGACACACGCACACACACAGACACACGCACACAGACACACGCACACACACACACACAGACACACGCACACAGACACACGCACACACACACAGACACACGCACACACACACAGACACACGCACACACACACACAGACACACGCACACACACACAGACACACGCACACACACACAGACACACGCACACACGTACACAGACACACGCACACACACAGACAGACATACGCACACACACACAGACACACGCACACACACACAGACACACGCACACACACACAGACACACGCACACACACACAGACACAGACACACGCACACACACACAGACACACACACAGACACACGTACACACGGCACGTAACCCCGAGCACACCGCTCCACGCCAGTGGCAGCATCGAGGTGGCGCCGGCTCAAGGAGGTCTTCATCCAGCAGTGGATTGATCGTGGCCGATGCCGATGGTCCAGGCTTTTCACCATCAAAAGCGACGAGCAACACACACAGAGTTCGGCCGTGTGGTTCCCGTGCGTGTCGCGCTGCTCCCGTGCGGAGCGACCGCAGGTCGGGGTTCGCCAGCCGCAGTGTGCGGTGGTGACCTATTGACCTCAACAGCGGCCACCGCCGTTCTCTCTCTGGGCCCGCTCCGGTGTGGGTCAAGGTTGACCGCTGTGCGTGACGCGGTGGGAATAAATATTCTGAGTTGACTTGCGTCTCGGAGTCTCTGCGGTCATTGGCTTTGGGTCTCCCTTCTACCCACCTCGCCCCCCTTACCCACCTCGCCCCCCTTACCCACCTCGCCCCCCTTACCCACCTCGCCCCCCTTACCCACCTCGCCTCCTTTACTCACCTCGCCCCCTTACCCACCTCGCCCCCCCACCCACGCACCTCTCACCCCCACCCACGCACCTCTCACCGTCCTGGCAGTGGTGGCTACGCTGCACGGGACTGTTGCCATCCAGCACTGCGTGTGGATCACTGTGTTCTGTGAGACTCCCTTCCCATGGGTGTCGAGGAGGTTCCGTACACTGGGTCGCCAGAAGGCAGCACAGCAGAGAGTGGACTAATCACCATCTATTTCCATCCGTACGGGAGTAGAGTGTTGCCCCCTCACGTAAGGCGTGGGATTTATGGCGTGCTGCGATTTCTGCTGCTGCTGCTGCATTGTCAGCTGTGCACACGCACAGCCATCAACACGCAGCACGTTCAGAAATAATGTTGCACTAAAAAAAACCCCATTAACGGTGATGTTTCAGCCAATGGCCCTTCTGCATAGCACGTAGCTTAAGGTTAAGGCGACCAGTTTCTCCATCGCTAAGAGCCATCACCTCTTCAGTGACCGGCACCACCAGCAGGCTCTGCAGTTGAGCCGTCGGCACGAATCTAGAGCGCACGCCCGTGCCTCTGGAGAGTTGTGCGGGGCTCGCGAGCCTCTCGCCAGGGCCCCACCAACTGGTGGCCACCTTCATCTGCAACCATTGCGCCTCTCCCACGGACATCATCAACGTAACCACCATCGCCAAAGAGCCCCCCCCACCCTTGAGCTGACTGATGGGGAAAGTGCTGTCAGCGAACACCGATGTGGATGATCAACAAGGCGCCGCACACACGGCATCACACAGCACACACACAGCACACACACAGTACCACACACAGCACCACACACAGCACCGGCACCGCACACAGCACAGACAGCACAGGCACCACACACAGCACACACAGCACACACAGCACAGGCACCACACACAGCACAGGCACCACACAGCAGACAGCACACACAACACACACAGCACCACACAGCACAGACAGCACAAGCACCACACACAGCACACACAGCACCACACAGACAGCACAGGCACCGCACAGGCACCACAAGGAGACCCGGAGATTCAACCCTGATTATTATAATAATTTCCGTCATCGTGATTATGGTAATCATCATCATCATTGCTGAAGTAATGCCAGGTCACGTGACGTCCACGTCTCTAGCGAACACGCGGACCGGCGATTTGACCCCACGGTGACCGAGGTCAGTGGTTTCCACATGCGAGCTTCTCCCCACGTGCGCGGATTTCCGTCGCCAGCCAATGATGCAAAGAACAGACGCCTCGATCGCTACGATAGACTGACGACACATGTTGGATAGGCGTATAACGATGAATCTATTAACAAAAAAAACACATCGATTAAAATACATTCTTGAGCTCACGACGCACGCGTCATAATTGTGCAAATTTCAGATTTGAGGACAGCTGACAGAAATGCTCGGCTAATTAACAATGGGAAATGTGTAATCCCAAAAATTCAAATTAATAAATACATGTTGAACGTGTATGTCAATGAGCGAACGTCACTCCAAATGAGAGGTGGTGGCAACAGGAACGATACAAACGAGACGGTGAGCACGAAAGTCCCCACACGAAATCCAAGCGTCGTGGGAGCGAGCGGCAGAACAGTCCCCCAGCCACGCACACCGACCGCTCGGCCGAGTGAATGAATGTGCCAGAACTCACCAGGCAGACAAACGCAACACAAACGAGACGACACGAAACGAGGGAGACAGCCGGAGCCATCGAGACAGACATCGCAAGCAAGACCGGCGACACGCGGGGGAATAACGCACGCACGCGGCGAGACACCGGCTCCCGAATGAGATCGGGACCAGGAATCGCCACTGAAGCCGTGGACTCGCCGCATGCCCAGCAGGGTTGTCCTCATCAGAGCCCCTCCTTCTGCCGACACGGCGTGTGTACTCGCTCCGGAGACGTGAAGGCGTTCATGGTCCCGAGTCCTCTGGTTAGTAGCAAGCGGTGGGGAATGCACAGGCCGCTGGCCGAACGCGACCCGCGAGTTCATTTCAAACAGCCCGAGGCCGCACGACCCCCTGGTTATTGTATCGGAGCGAGGCCCGCCACTGCACGCGGCTTACGAGCGGCGCTCATCGGGCACTAGACGGGAATATTTTTAACCTGGCAACGACAATGACGCTGGTGTCGAACATTAGCCCCGCACTCAGGCAGCGCCTCCTGCAGTGACAAACGCCACTGCGCTGTTTGTGTTCGTGTGGGTGTTCGTGTGGGTGTTCATGTGGGTGTTCATGTGGGTGTTCATGCATGGTTCCCCACCACACGTGCTAGTACTCGGCCTCTCAGGACAAGGTTCACCCAATTAGATTCGCACACTGCAAACAAAATGTGGCAGGACCCTCCTGAAAGCGAGTCATGAGACTCGCTTCCCTGGATAAACACGCGGAACACCACCACGTGACCTTCGCCCTATTGCAGAGAGACAGCTGCCCTGAGCTACAACTCGTGACCTCGCGGACTCACGACCTCCATCCGGCGATCAGCCCCTGGTTGGTGCTCCGGATGACCAGGAGTCACCGATACTCACTCTTTGCCCCCCCCCCCCACTCTTCCCCCACTCCCCTCTGTCCACGTGGAGCCGATCCGACTCGGGTTGCCACCAGTCCGGGTTTGACCCGGGACGGTTCGGGAACGTGGACCCGCTGTTCGGGTGTGCCGCGCGGTTTCCGCGCCTTGGCTGGGCGGGAATCGCGGCCGGGCTCGCTCCGTGGAGAAGGTGGCGACCCTGGCTCCAGACCAAACAAGCACCACCACCAGACCTTTGTTTTACAGGCGACCGAGTGACCGCACACTCGCCTTCGCAACCGAGTTTCGGGCAACCGCCCGATACACCCGCTGAGAACGACCACGGCACATCCATTGTAACCGGCAAATAGCATTGACTCATCATGGGATAGGCGTACCATGCACCCTAGTTGTAGTGCCTTATGCCGATAAATCCCTTAACGCCACAAGCCTGCCTTGAGCAGCGTTCCGGGGAAGAAGAGAAGATTGATTGAGCTGTGGCGATTTGTATTCCTCAAGCCCGAGTGATGAGCAACACCAGCACGGGAGCAGCAGCGATGCGACACGGCCGATCGTGGATCCCCCGAGGCCCGCAGCGAAGAAGAGTTTGGGCTACAGCGGCCTTCCTCTGTGGTCCTGAGCCGCCACCGGCTGCTCCATCACTACCCCCCCCCCCCCCGTGCACTGAGCCTCCTGCCCTGGGGGTCACTATTGCACTGCCCGTGTCCGCCAGAGATCGCTTCATCGCAGCCGGCGATCGCTACTGCGAGTCACGTGCCAGTGAAATGTTTAACCCTGCATAGAACCTGCAGACTCACACAGAGACCCACAGACTAGCATAGAACCTGCAGACTCACACAGAGACCCACAGACTAACATAGAACCTGCAGACTCACACAGAGACGCACAGACTAACATAGAACCTGCAGACTCACACAGAGACGCACAGACTAACATAGAACCTGCAGACTCACACAGAGACCCACAGACTAGCATAGAACCTGCAGACACACACAGAGACCCACAGACTAACATAGAACCTGCAGACTCACACAGAGACCCACAGACTAGCATACAACCTGCAGACTCACACAGAGACCCACAGACTAGCATAGAACCTGCAGACTCACACAGAGACCCACAGACTAACATATAACCTGCAGACTCACACAGGACTCACAGATTAGCATAGGACCCACAAACTTAAATGACCCAAATAAGAATATAAAACCTATAGACTTAACCTATTGACTAACGTATGCTACTAACGTAGGCTCCGCAGACTAATATAGGACCCACAGACTTACACAGAAACCCACAGACTGACATAGAACCCATAAACTCAGATACGACCCATATATGAACACAGACTCCCGTGACAAAAGGACACGCAGACTTAACCCATAGACGAACGCAGACTTGTGTAGGAACACGGTTTCCTTTCAGCCGGGTCTAGTCTTTGGATCGTTGACCCCAAAAACATTACCTACCCGGCACACCACATCGAGTATAAGCTCTCACTATGACTGCGAGTAGCCACGCGCCACGTGCTCTCGTCTACCAGCGCCCCATGGAGCCGGTCCCCTGAGCTCGCAGTGCGAGGCGCGGCCACGCGGCGGCGCCCTCGCCTCGTGACCGCTGGGGGGGCCACGTCTGAGCGAGTCGTCGTGCAACAAGTTGAGCCCCAAACGCGGCGACCAATCGCAGTCGCGCTCCGCGTGTCACGTGCATGACGTGACGAAACACAGAGGCGTCCACGTGGACGCAACGGGTCGCTCGCTCTCGCGTGGACACCGAGGCCCCATCGCCGTCCCCCTGTGCGGCTCCATGGAGCCCTCGGGGCCCGGAGTGGAGCCCTCGAAGCCCAAAGTGGAGCCCTCGGGGCCCGGAGTGGAGCCCTCGGGGCTCGGAGTGGAGCCCTCGGGGCCCGGAGTGGAGCCTACTGGGACCCTCCTGCAGCGGCTCCCTGAGTCGCGTTGTGCCGCGTGTTATTGTTCGGCGTGATGTCCGACGTTTCGCTCCACGTGCCAGGAGCTTCTTCAGGAACCTGTGGGTACTACTACCAGTTCCCGTGGGGACTACTACTACTACTATTAGTGACGTGCCACCTACCCCAGTCTATCAGCGTGAGCCATAACGTCAGACAACGTGCCGAACCGAACCGCTTGCAGCACAATCGGGGAAGCACGCAGGACAGCTGCGCAGCATCAGAAGCAGCATCATCAGCAGCAGCATCATCAGCATCATCAGCAGCATCAGCATCATCAGCAGCAGCATCAGCATCATCAGCAGTAGCAGCAGCGCCACTGCGGCAGGAGCTGTGCCCCCCGTCCCCTCCCCGCGGTGGCTGCGCTCCCTCCTCCTCCTCCCCCGGCCTTTCTCGGGAATTTACATTGGTCGAGTTCCTCCCCAGAGGTGGGGGGAAGGGGCGTGGAGGAGGTTTCACCTCGTCGATGAGGGGGGGGGGGGGGGGAAGGGATTCCGGTTCCCATGTCGCAGTTTTGTTTGCGTCGTGCGTTCCGGTGCCGCGGGCTCTAGGTCAAGCGAGGTCGTTTGAGGTCGCGCCGTCACCCGCCCAGAGATCGCCGTCTTCATCGTCGCCGTCTTCACCGTCGCCGTCTTCACCGTCGCCGTCTTCACCGTCGCCGTCTTCACCGTCGCCGTCTTCACCGTCGCCGTCTTCACCGTCGCCGTCTTCACCGTCGCCATCTTCATCGTCGCCGCCTTCATCGTCGCCGTCTTCACCGTCGCCACGACGTCAAGGGGCACCGTTCGTCAACGCTGGCGCCCTAGCCGCACGGGGTGGACTCTGTCCACGGAATGTGCCGACAACTCCACGGTTGGGGTGGAGGAGGTGGCGGAGGAGGAGGATTGGGGCGGAGAGAAGAAACTTCGGGAGCTCCCAGGCGTGGGCCGTGCGCTGCGCATTTGTGCTTTCGTCAACGTTCTAGACGAGAGGCGCATGCAGCCAGGGGCAGCACCGAGTGATCGATAAATAAAGAGGCGGGGAGGGGGGGGGGGAGTCGAGTGAATGAAGACCCACGGATGGGATGGGAGGTGGGGGGCCGTAGGGAGCCGTGGGGGGCCGTGGGGGAGGCGTCACTCGCACGCCAGCTTCCCGTCGAAGCTGGAGAGCGCCACGGCGAACGCCTGCAGCGCGCACATGGGGTAGCTGTAGTCCATGGTGAACACGTCCTCCGCCACGCGCCCAAACTGCATCACGATGTACTCGGCTACGGCGGGGGAGCAGCGGGGTGTAGGGAGAGGGATTGGAGACAGAGAGCACAAAGGGAAGAGAGAGGAGAGATGGGTGGCAGGGAGAGAGAGAGGGGGAGCGGGAACAGTGCTTGTTGAGTGGGAGGGATCTTCGCATTCCAGAGATACGGAGATGGCACAAAGGTCCTCCGTGTAGCCTTAACACACACACAGTCACACACACAGTCACACACACACACAGTGTCACACACATAGTCACACACACATAACATAACAACCGCCATTCGCCACTAAGTGGCGGTGACGTCACCACGACGCTTGTGCCAGGCCATGTGCACCTTGAGGCCACGTGGAGTGTCGAACGCCCGCTGACAGGAGGTCACGGGGCAGACCCAGGTGCCATGGGTCGACTGACTGAGATGACTGGCTGATGCACCACCTGTGCCCCCTACTGTGCCAACCTGCTGTGCTTTAGCCACCCGGCGCTCCGCTCGTTGTGAGCGTCGCTTCTCCGCCCTCCGTTGTTGTTGGAGGGCGACTGCCACCAACTGCCCAATAGCGTCCTTCACGAGCCTCCTCCACAGAGGCCGATCTTGACACCGCTGGTACCAGTCATCGGCAAGTCCACTCAGCTCCACGTCCGCCTGTACCACATCACTCCATCTCTTCTCTCGCCCGTGCCGCGCCCGTTTAGCCCCCTCGATCCGGCCGAACAAAAGCTGTTTCGGCATGCGGTGGCTGGGCATGCGGGCTACATGACCCAGCCATCGCAGCCTTGCCTGCCGGAGAAGCTCACCGATGGGACCTTGCCCAGATCTTTCAAGGATTTGTGAGCTCTTCACACAATCCAGTCTGGTTAAACCCAGGATGGATCGTAGGCAGGCCAGCCTAAATGTTTCTAACCGGTGAAGATGTTCCATTAGGGGGGGCCACGTTTCGCAAGCGTAGAGAAGGGAGGGAATGACCGTGGCCAAGAAGACCTGAAGCTTAGTGCGGAGCGACAGACCAGGTAGCTTCCACACAGCGTTACGCAACCGATGAAAAGATATTGCCGCTCGACTGATTCGGAGTGAGACCTCTGCTGTTAAACTGGAGCCGGTCACACACACACACATTCACACACACACATTCACACACACACAGTCTCACACACACACACAGTCCCTCACACACAGTCTCTCACACACAGTCTCTCACACACAGTCTCTCACACACAGTCTCTCACACACAGTCTCTCACACAGTCTCTCACAGAGTCTCTCACACACAGTCACACACACACACACAGTCTCTCACACACAGTCTCTCACACACAGTCTTTCACACACAGTCTCACAAACAGTCACACACACACAGTCACACACACACACACACAGTCTCTCACACACAAAGAGTTGCACACTCGCATATATACACGTTACACTCACCAAGTCTCTTCCATAACCACCTCTGCCAACTCTTTAACAACTTATTTATGACCCCCCCCCCTCATGCCCCCCACCGCACGCCCCGCCCACCACCCACCGCCCTCCCCACCAGCACGTACGGTCGTCGTCGTGCACGATCTGGAAGTTCTTGACGGAGGCCTGCGTGACGCGCCCGTGGAAGTTGAGCACGTAGCTCTGTGTGTCGTCGTTCCACACGGGCGCCTTGTTGTGCAGCTCGATCAGCCCGTCCAGGCGCTTCGCCTGCCAGCGGCTCATCAGCGACTCGTGCTCCTGCACGCACGCGCGGAGAGATGCGTGAGGGATTCGTACGGAAGAGACGGGGCGGCGACACGCGGAGACACGTGGAGACACAGGAATATGGGTGCACAGAGACACACAGAGACACAGAGACACAGACAGAGACACACAGAGACAGACAGAGACACAGAGACACACACAGAGACACAGAGACACACAGAGACAGAGACACACAGAGACAGAGACACACAAAGACAGAGACACACAAAGACAGAGACACACAAAGACACAGACAGAGATACACACAGAGACACACACAGAGATACACACAGAGACACACACAGAGACACACACAGAGACACACACAGAGACACACACAGACAGACACATAAAGACAGAGACACACAGAGACAGAGACACACAAAGACACACACAGAGACACACACAGAGACACAGAGATACACACAGAGATACACACAGAGATACACACAGAGACACACACAGAGATACACACAGAGACACACAGAGACACACACAGACAGAGACACACAAAGACAGAGACACACAGAGACAGAGACACACAAAGACACACACAGAGACAGAGACACACAGCACAACTAGTCAATTCCTGCTCGTAAGTGTGGAGGCTAGTGGTGTGAAGCTTTACACCACGATACAATGCAGCGACTGCTTCTTCTATTAATACTGCTACAACTACTATACTACTGCTGCTGCTACCACTACTACACTACTGCTACCACTACTACACTACTGCTACAACTACTATACTACTGCTGCTGCTACCACTACTACACTACTGCTACCACTACTACACTACTGCTACCACTACTACACTACTGCTACAAATACTATACTACTGCTGCTACCACTACTATACTACTGCTGCTACCACTACTACACTACTGCTACCACTACTACACTACTGCTACAACTACTATACTACTGCTGCTGCTACCACTACTACACTACTGCTACCACTACTACACTACTGCTACCACTACTACACTACTGCTACCACTACTACACTACTGCTACCACTACTACACTACTGCTACCACTACTACACTACTGCTACAACTACTATACTACTGCTACCACTACTACACTACTGCTACAACTACTATACTACTGCTGCTACCACTACTACACTACTGCTACCACTACTACACTACTGCTACAACTACTATACTACTGCTACCACTACTACACTACTGCTACTGCTACCACTACTACACTACTGCTACCACTACTACACTACTGCTACAACTACTATAATACTGCTGCTGCTACCACTACTACACTACTGCTACCACTACTACACTACTGCTACCACTACTACACTACTGCTACCACTACTACACCACTGCTACCACTACTACACCACTGCTACCACTACTACACTACTGCTACCACTACTACACTACTGCTACCACTACTACACTACTGCTACCACTACTACACTACTGCTACCACTACTACACTACTGCTACCACTACTACACTACTGCTACCACTACTACACTACTACCACTACTACACTACTGCTACCACTACTACACTACTGCTACCACTACTACACTACTGCTACCACTACTACACTACTGCTACCACTACTACACTACTGCTACCACTTCTACACTACTGCTACCACTACTACACTACTGCTACCACTACTATACTACTACCACTACTACACACTGCTACCACTACTACACTACTGCTACCACTACTACACTACTGCTACAACTACTACACTACTGCTACCACTACTATACCACTACTACACTACTGCTACCACTACTACACTACTGCTACCACTACTACACCACTACTACACTACTACACCACTACTACACTACTGCTACCACTACTACACTACTGCTACCACTACTACACTACTGCTACCACTACTACACTACTGCTACCACTACTACACTACTGCTACCGCTACCATTACTACACTACTGCTACCACTACTACACTACTGCTACCACTACTACACTACTGCTACCACTGCTACACTACTGCTACCACTGCTACACTACTGCTACCACTACTACACTACTGCTACCACTACTACACCACTGCTACCACTACTACACCACTGCTACCACTACTACACTACTGCTACCACTACTACACTACTGCTACCACTACTACACCACTGCTACCACTACTACACTACTGCTACCACTACTACACTACTGCTACAACTACTACACTACTGCTACCACTACTACACTACTGCTACCACTACTGCACTACTGCTACCACTACTGCTACCACTACTACACTACTGCTACCACTACTACACTACTGCTACCACTACTACACTACTGCTACAACTACTATACTACTGCTGCTGCTACCACTACTACACTACTGCTACAACTACTATACTACTGCTGCTGCTACCACTACTACACTACTGCTACCACTACTATACTACTGCTACCACTACTACACTACTGCTACCACTACAACACTACTGCTACAACCACTACTACACTACTGCTACCACTACTACACTACTGCTACTACTACTACACTACTGCTACCACTACTACACTACTGCTACCACTACTACACTACTGCTACTGCTACCACTACTACACTACTGCTACCACTACTACACTACTGCTACAACCACTACTACACTACTGCTACCACTACTACACTACTGCTACCACTACCACACCACTGCTACCACTACTACACTACTGCTACAACTACTACACTACTGCTACCACTACTACACTACTGCTACCACTACTGCACTACTGCTACCACTACTGCTACCACTACTACACTACTGCTACCACTACTACACTACTGCTACCACTACTACACTACTGCTACAACTACTATACTACTGCTGCTGCTACCACTACTACACTACTGCTACAACTACTATGCTACTGCTGCTGCTACCACTACTACACTACTGCTACCACTACTATACTACTGCTACCACTACTACACTACTGCTACCACTACAACACTACTGCTACAACCACTACTACACTACTGCTACCACTACTACACTACTGCTACCACTACTACACTACTGCTACCACTACTACACTACTGCTACCACTACTACACTACTGCTACCACTACTACACTACTGCTACTGCTACCACTACTACACTACTGCTACTGCTACCACTACTACACTACTGCTACCACTACTACACTACTGCTACCACTACTACACTACTGCTACCACTACTACACTACTGCTACCACTGCTACACTACTGCTACCACTACTACACTACTGCTACCACTACTACACCACTGCTACCACTACTGCTACCACTACTACACTACTGCTACCACTGCTACACTACTGCTACCACTACTACACTACTGCTACCACTACTACACCACTGCTACCACTACTACACTACTGCTACCACTACTACACTACTGCTACCACTGCTACACTACTGCTACCACTACTACACTGCTGCTACCACTACTACACCACTGCTACCACTACTACACTACTGCTACCACTACTACACTACTGCTACCACTGCTACACTACTGCTACCACTACTACACTACTGCTACCACTACTACACCACTGCTACCACTACTACACCACTGCTACCACTGCTACACCACTGCTACCACTACTACACTACTGCTACCACTGCTACACTACTGCTACCACTACTGCACTACTGCTACCACTACTACACCACTGCTACCACTACTACACCACTGCTGCAACTACTACACTACTGCTGCAACTACTACACTACTGCTACCACTACTACACTACTGCTACCACTACTACACTACTGTTGCACTCACGTTGCGTGGCTGGAAGGGCACGCGCTCGTGCTCGGCGCTCATGCCGGGAATGACGACGGTCATTTTTCTGGGGCCCTTGAACCCCAGCACATTCGCCTCCTGTGCCACGCACACAAAGACAAAGATCCCCCGTGTATCCCTTCACGCTTTGTTGGGGCAAATGCGTTAGCGAGTAGCACCTATAAAGGTCGACACGACACACGAGGGGGTGGGTGGCCGGCACCACGCCCGGCCGCCTTTGTCTCCTAGGTGACGTTGTTTGCACATCGCGCCAGGTACTCATTTGAGGCCGAGTCGACCTACGGGAGGCCCAGGACCGGTTCAAATAATCGTCACTGGTGTTGGTGGCTGTGAGCGGGAATCGAACTCGGGTTACCGAGTTTGTAGCGCAACGGGCTAACCGTTACACTACCGCTCCCCACTGCACTGTGACACACGCAGTGGTACACACACACACACACGCAGTGGTACACACACACACGCAGTGGTACACACACACGCAATGGTACACACACACACGCAGTGGTACACACACACACGCAGTGGCACACACACACGCAGTGGCACACACACACGCAGTGGCACACACACACACACGCAGTGGCACACACACACACACGCAGTGGTACACACACACACACGCAGTGGCACACACATGCACGCATCACCATACGACTCACGTAGCACACGGCTGCCATCTCCTGCCGGATGTTGGATCCGTCCCCCAGGGCGATGCCCTTGTCCGGGTTCACGCCGCTGTCGTACACCGTGAACTTGGTGCCCATGAGGTTCGAGCTGTGCACGCCATCACATCACCATCACCACATCATATCACCACCACATCACATCACCTTTCACCATCACATCACCATCATATCACCACCACATCACATCACCATCACCACATCACATCACCATCACCACATCATATCACCATCACCACATCACATCACCACCACATCACATCACCACCACATCACATCACCTTTCACCATCACATCACCATCATATCACCACATCATATCACCACCACATCACATCACCTTTCACCATCACATCACCATCATATCACCACCACATCACATCACCACATCACATCACCATCACCACATCATATCACCATCACCACATCACATCACCACCACATCACATCACCTTTCACCATCACATCACCATCATATCACCACATCACATCACCACCACATCACATCACCTTTCACCATCACATCACTATCATATCACCACATCACATCACCTTTCACCATCACATCACCATCATATCACCACCACATCACATCACCTTTCACCATCACATCACCATCATATCACCACCACATCACTTCACCATCACATCACCATCACATCACCACATCACATCACCACCACATCACCATCACATCACCATATCACCATCACAACATCACCACATCACAACACCACCACATCACTATCACATCACCATCGCAACATCACATCACCATCACATCACCACCATATCACCATCACAACATCACATCACCACCACATCACTCCCACATCACCTTTCACCACCACATCACCATCACCACACCATCACAACAACACATCACCACCACCACATCACCATCACCACCACATCACCATCACCACCATATTACCATCACATCACCACCACATCACCACCACCACAACGTCACCACATCACCATCACAACACCACCACATCACCACCACATCACCACAACATCACATCACCACCACATCACCACCACATCACCACCACATCACCACCACATCACCACCACATTACCATCACGACACCACCAACCGGCAGGTGTTCTCTAGCGCACTGAGCGATGCTCGCGGCCACATCGTCAACCCATCGACGTCGGCTGCGATCGCCGCGAGCGACGGATCGGTTCGTTGTTTCGCGCTGCCTCCTACCGCAGTTTCCCCACGAAGCTGTCGCCCACGCGGGAGAGGTCGGTGGGGTCGGTGGAGATGAGGTAGTTGGAGGTTTTGCTCTTCTTGCGCTTGCGGCCAGCGAGCAGGAACACCTGGCAAGGGGGTGGGGGGGGGGGGGTGAAAGAGGGAGTGTGAGGGTTAGTGCGTAAGCGAGCGAGTTTGGAGCACGGTGGTGGAGCACTGTGGTGGAGCACGGTGGTGGAGCACGGGGGTGGAGCACGGTGGTGGAGCACGGTGGTGGAGCACAGGGGTGGAGCACGGGGGTGGAGCACGGTGGTGGAGCACGGTGGTGGAGCACGGGGGTGGAGCACTGTGGTGGAGCACGGTGGTGGAGCACGGTGGTGGAGCATGGGGGTGGAGCACGGGGGTGGAGCACGGTGGTGGAGCACGGGGGTGGAGCACGGTGGTGGAGCGTCTCTCACGCGTTTGCCGTCGTCGCGCTCCAGGTGCAGGAAGTAGGTGGGGAACATTCCGCGGTCCATGCCCTTCTTGTCGCGGGTGATGCGGCACTTGACGGCCGCCCCCTCCGGCGCCGGCCTCACCGCGAACTCCTCGAGGCTCTCCAGGTCCAGCGAGTCGCTCGCGCTGGGGGCCGCCGCGTCCGGGGATGCCTGGGGGGGCGGGGCAGCGGGGTGGAGGGCGGCACGAGACAAATGTCCCCCGTGTAGCCCTGCCAGACCGTTGGGTCAAGTGCCCTTAGCAGGCCGGCACGGCACACGAGGGGTGGGTGGCCAGAACCACGCCCGGCCCCCTTTGTCTCCCCGCTGGCGATGTTTATTACACACCGCACTGGGTCCTCATTTCGGGCTGAGTCTCCTAGGGAAAGCCCAAGACTGGTTCAGATATTTGTCACTGATCTTGACCTATACACTCATATAGAGACCCATAGACCCACATAGAGACCCATCGACCCAAATCGAGATCCACGGGGGAGGGGGGGGTTGGATCTCAGAGGTAGCTCTGCAGTTCCCGCTTCTGCGGGCCGCTCTCTAAACCCCGGGACGTGGCGGCTCTGGAGGAGTTGGGAACGGATTCATCTCCCCGCGATGTTGCCACCAACCTTGCCCGACTTGTTGCTGCTGGCGGAGTTGGGTCGGGGGCCGCCCCCCACACTGGGGGGCCCAGGACTCACGGCCTGACCCAGGCTTTCGTCGTCCTCCTCCTCAACCTCCTCCCCCTCGCCATCGTTCTCATCTGCGTCATCATCAGAGGGGACACTCGCAGAGATTCCTACGGGCGGAGGGGAGAGCGCAGGGTAGCGGAGGGGAGAGCGGTAGGAGAGGAGAGTAAGCAATAGTCGCATGGTGACCGTGAGAACGGTAATCAATGCCTCGTTAACCACGATTCACACACTACGATGTTCCCACCACAACCACCACCACCACCACCTGTGCCGCCACTCACCCTGCTGCTGCATGACCTCCCGCAGGTGGTTCGCCCTGTGCCCTGCCGGTTGCCTTGGCGATCGTTGCGGCTGTCGGCCGGTGGTTGTGGTCGTCTCCGTGGCGGTAGCGGGGGCAGTGGAGGCGGTCGCTATGGAGACGGCGGTGACGAGGTGGTCGTCGTCGGTGCTGGACTCGCTCACCGACAGGATGTGCACCACCGCGCCACCACCGCGCTCGCTCGCATCCGGCTCCGAGAACGCAGCCGGACCCTCGTAACCTGCACCACCACCACCATGGCACAACCACCACCACCATCGCTCAACCACCACCACCATGGCACAACCACCACCACCATCGCTCAACCACCACCACCACCACCACTCAACCACCACCACTACTGCTCAACCACCACCACCGCTCAACCACGGTCACACTGCCAAAATGCACCGCTGCACCACCGCACCATCACAATGCCGCACGGCAGCACCATGCTGTACAACCGCACCACCGCACCCCTGCACAGTCACACCACAACAACCCACAGCCTCTTAACCACTCCACCCACCAACTCGTCCCCGCTCTCCCTCCCACCCCCACTCCACTCCCCCCACCCCCCACCGGGCTGAATCACCGAACGAAGTCATCGCAAACTCAGCCGTGCATCCCTGAGTGCCCCCCCCCCGCCCTCCTCTCCACCCCTCTCTCTCTCTCCATCGATCATCATCGACCAGCAACAACAATGCCAGCGCCAGGGTAACCCGGGGCAGTGCCTTCCTATAACAACAACCACTATCAACAACAATAGCAACAACATCTGACCCACTCACACAGTCACTCACTCACTCACCCCCCCACTCACTCGTCCTCACACTCACCACAGTGCAGGTCACCTGCACTGTGGTGTTCCTTCAATCGCACCGCTCCAGTCTGAAATTCCCTCCTCCCATCATCACCGTGGTCTCCAGCTCAGTTCAAGAAGCGTGTTCCATCCTCAGATTTTATTACGACATTGATAAGAGTGCTGCTTGTTAATGGATGCATTTTGAGCCTTTGGGCCTGGGCTGTGATTTTAATATAATGTTCTAATACATATAATAATAATAATAAAAACCGGTCGTGATCTATCCACTCCGCAAGCTGTCGCCTATCTATCACAGGCTCACGATGCCCCCTTCCCTCACCACCTGCACCCCCCCCCTACTCCCCGATACCCCCTCGCACCGCTGAAGATGAGGCTGCTGCTGCTGCTGATCCCATCGCGAACACCGAATCCCCTAGAACCAACTGTGCCCTGACACCCCCCCCACCTCCCCCGCGCACCGCTGAAGATGAGGCTGCTGCTGCTGATCCCATCGCGAACACCGAATCCCCTAGAACCAACTGTGCCCTGACACCCCCCCCCACCTCCCCCGCGCACCGCTGAAGATGAGGCTGCTGCTGCTGGAGCTGTCGGGCCCGACGAGCGGCTGCTGCAGTTCGTCGAGCCGGCGTGACGCCGCCGCCGCCGCGGCCGCGGTGCCTCCCCCTCCGCCCGCGCTCCGGGAGCTGCGCCCGGAGCGCGGGCGCGAGGCCTCCGGGTTGGGCTGCACCGTCATGGGCGCCAGCCGCAGCTGCTGCCGCTTGCGCTCCATCAACTCCCGCTGCGCCGGGGGGAGGGGCAAGGGGGGAGCGGCATGACCCGGGTGAGCGCTGTCACCGAGGTTTGTATTTTATTTATTCGTTTAAATGTATTGCATGGACAGCAAATTGAGCAGGAACATCTAATCTGCAAGGGTGTCCAGGTGTGTCCAGGTGTGTCCAGGTGTGTCCAGGTGTGTCCAGGTGTGTCCAGGTATGTCCAGGTGTGTCCAGGTGTGTCCAGGTGTGTCCAGGTGTGTCCAGGTGTGTCCAGGTGTGTGAGGAGTCCTCCCGCGAGGGTTGAGTGACACGGGGTGACTCAGGTGCGCCCCCCTCACCTGTCGGTTGAGCTTGAGGATCCGCGCATCCCCAGGTCCTCCGTCATCTTCCAGAGCGCTGCAGCAGTCACGAGGGGACATGTCACGTGAGCCCCTCCACCTGACCCCTCCTTCAGGTAACCTACCCCCCCCCAACCCCCCTTCCCAACTACAACAGCTTCACTGATGAAGGCACTGTTTCCACTTTCAAGGATCTGTGAGCTCCTCACACTGTAATCCAGTCTGGTTAAACCCAGGATGGATCGTAGGCAGGACAGCCTGAATGTTTCTAACCGGCGCAGATATTAGAGGGCTCTAAACGTCGCCAGCGTTGAGAAGGGAGTGCAAAACTTTTGCTGAGAAGACCAGAAGCTGTGTGCGGGTTGACAGACCAGGTAGCTTCTGCACAGCAGCGTTACGCAGTCGATGAAAAGATAATGCCGCTCGACTGATTTGGAGACCTCTGCTGCATAACCGGAGCTGGTCATGAGCACACTGCCCAGGGTAAGGGAACTCCTCCACTTTTTCCACAAACCCATTAAACACAGACTCATGCATACAAGCACACACGAGTATACAAACACGGACACACACACACACAAAGATATGCACAACAGACACAGACACATAGAGTTAGACATAAACACACACTCATAACAAACAAATACAAAGATCCCCCATACAGTCTTTAACAGACTGTCGGGGCAAGTGCTTTAGCGAGCATGACGCACAAGCGGGTGAGTGGTCACACGCCTGGCTGCCTTTGTCTCCCCGGTGCCGATGTTTACACGAAGTACCAGGTTATCATTTAAGGCTGAGTCGACCTACAGGGGGACCAGGACCGGTTTTATATATTAATCACTGATGTTAGCTGTAAACGCAAATTGAGCGCAGGTCCCCGGTTTCAGAGTGCAGTGGGCTAACCCCTGCGCCACCCCTCAATTCCCCTCACACAGAGCCACACGCACAATCACAGGTGCACAATCACAGGTGCACAATCACAGGTGCACAATCACAGGTGCACAATCACAGGTGCACAATCACAGGTGCACAATCACAGGTGCACACCTGGACGCACGCTACCTGTACGCGACGGAGCTTGGGGCGCTACCTCCGCTCGCCATGGCGCAACATCAACACACTCCCCCATCACCCCCCCCCACTCCCTCATCACGCCCTGCACACTCCCCCATCACCCCCTCCCCCATCACCCCCTCCCACATCACCCCCTCCCACATCACCCCCTCCCACATCACCCCCTCCCACATCACCCCCTCCCACATCACCCCCTCCCCCATCACCCCCTCCCACATCACCCCCTCCCACATCACCCCCTCCCACATCACCCCCTCCCCCATCACCCCCTCCCCCATCACCCCCTCCCACATCACCCCCTCCCACATCACCCCCTCCCCCATCACCCCCTCCCACATCACCCCCTCCCACATCACCCCCTCCCACATCACCCCCTCCCACATCACCCCCTCCCACATCACCCCCTCCCACATCACCCCCACTCACCCTTCACCTCCTCCAGACCCCCCCTCCATCTCCCCATCGCATCAACTCCACCCCCATCCCCCACCCCTCCCCTCTATCCAGCCCCTCCCCTTCATCCTCACCCCTCTCAGCCCTCGTTGCTAAACAACAGCGGAAGAGACGCGTCCCGCCGTGACCATGGAGACAGCTCACGACCCCCCCCCCCCCGACAACCCGGTCCCTCCCCTCCCCCAGCAGCCCCGCCCCTCAACCATAACAACACGGGAAGAGTGGCGGTGATGATTCGGTCTCTAACGACTCATCGACTCGCATCGATTATCACGGCCACCATGCGCACACTTCAGTCAATCCACTGCTAGATGAAGGCCACCCCACGCTGCATAGCCAAGGGGGGGAGGGGGGATGGTTTGACCATACTTCTCCACGCTGGGCAGTGGTGCGGATTGGTGAATAGGGCCGGGAGGTGGGAGCTCAGGACTGGTTCAGATGTCACTCGCCACTGATGTGAGACGTGTTCCGAAATCGATCTCGGCTCGCTGGGTTCATATCGCAGTGCGCTAACCACTGCGCCACCGCTCCATTCTCACGTTCGCGATCCAATCGCGGGAATCCTCGAGTTGTACATTATGCAAATTAGATGTACTGTATGTTGTTATTTTACAAAAAAATTATGTTCATATATGATAATCACGGAAAGGAGCGGTGGCGCATTGATTAGCGCACTATGCTACGAGCCGGGCCACCTGATATCAATTCCTGGTCAGTGGCGAGTGGTATCTGCACCGCTCTTTATAAGTGGATTGACACAGGGGGACTTGCAAGCCAGAGGACACCAGTTCCACTCCACCTCCCAGTTCGGCAGTCGACGCAATGGGACGCGTTTCTTAAATCCCCTCCCCCCACCCGCCTCCATCTGACCAGCTGTACAAATGGGTTCACTGCAGTTAGTCGATCGAGACGACTCCTGTCTCTTGTAAGACGTAGCCTACTATTCCAGTGCGGAAGAGTAGGCCAATGACACCCACCGGAGGGGATCTCCAGAGCTCCCGAGCAGTAGAGGTCCTTCCGCCAACAGAGGCGTGAGCAGTTGCGGGGCTGCGCATTCGCCGTCACCACGGGCGTATAGCCGGAGAGCGATCTGCGTGCTTACCCCAGAAAACCTCACCGAGTCTAGGGACTGTTTCTCAGCAGGGTGCTGCTGCTACTGCGTGAACCCCGATTGAGTGGTTTGCAGGCGATCATTCCGCTCTGGGATGTTGATGAAGTATGGTCAAACTATCATCCCCCTGTGCAGCGTGGGTGGCAAGGCCACCGTGCAGCAGAATATTTCACAGTGCGTTCACCACCCGCAGTGTTAACCAGGGCGGCCGCTCGATTCGAACCGCGAACCTCTTACAACGACCAATTGACCCCGCCAGCTGTGCGTCCGTGGAGTGGGCTGGAGAGCACTCGCCAAAAGCGCATGGCAACTTCAGCGGAATGTGATTTCATTGTGTAACGACCTGGCTCTCGCCATCATTCCCCTTTCAATACGGTGCAGGCTGGGCACAGACACAAAGGCCCCGAACGCCAAGTGGCCAGCAACAAACAGCACTTGCCAAAGTTGTAACAGATACGAGTGTGACACGGGTCTTGAATTGAGCACCATAATTATTGTAAGAGCTTGTGGGAGAACAACGATGGAGCGGTACGAGGGAAGAAGCAGAGAGAGAAGTGAGATGAGCTGCAGTGTGGCGAGTGGGTGGGTGCATGGGCGGGGGTGAGTGTGCAGTTTGTGAACTGCAGTGTGGTGGTGGACGAGGCGACACAGTCAGTGTCTGGCACAGACCGTGTCGAGGACACGGCTGGAGGAATCAAAGAGTGACGCTCACGGGAACAGTAACCATGGCAATAGCTATAGAAGAGTGACGAGGAGGCGACTGACTGCCGCTGAACGAGGTGGCCAAAGGAAAACAGAACGTCACATGGATTATTGAATCGATCTGTGCGGAGCTTTGAGCGTTGGGTTCTCCGGTTTCCACCCCACACGAAGCCACCAGTAGAAGTGGGCTCACTGCAGTTCGTTGGAATGCATGGCCAAACGTCCCAGCATAATAGCAGCATCCTCCTGATAAGGAGCCTTGAGACTCAGCGAGGATATCCCACAGAAATGCTTAAATGCAGCCGTGATGAAATCACAGCCGTGTCCAACAACACGGGGGAGTTTGGCCAACAGGTACATAGGTTCACACAAGGGAACACGATAAACACAAGGGAACACACTACACGCAAGACAACAAAGTGTACACAAAGGGACACAATGTACACAACGCTCACACACGAGTTTCAGCTTTGATGAATGGTGCCGTGGGCTCAGGGGTGGGTGGGTGGATGAGTGTACGGCTCCGTGCTGCACCCCCACGCTCCCTGTCTTCACACACCCAGCAGTCTTCTCTTCCTCCGTGTGGCTGGTGTCGATGCAGGGCATCGACACCAGCCACACGGAGGTGGTCGAGCCACACGACCGCGTCAGGAGCAGTGGCGTAGTGATCCGCTGCGACGTCTCCTTCGGGTTTGCGGATCGGGCGTCGTTATATGTCGCTCCGTCTCTGTCCTGGATGACCACTAATGGAGAGTTTTTAATGTTCCATTTGTGCATCGTCAGGTACCCGCATCTGATACCGTGGTTTGTGCGGTGGATGCGGCTTAGAGTGGACCATGAGCAGCTCCGTGGGTTCTTTAGAACTCCAGCTCCCCACGCTTCATCGGGGTTGAAATGTGATTGTTTAAGGTTAAGCGCATTGGTCCAAAGGGGCTCGCGTGACTTCAAGCCATGGCGATGGCTGTTATGGAAGTCCTGATGAGTAGGAGGGCAGGACAAAGCGTGGTGAGGTATGGTCAAATAACCCCCACGTCCTGTACAGGGTGTGGGGACTGTCATCCAGCAGTGGATCGCAAGAGAAGCTGCACATGTACATGAAAACTCCTAACAGCCACCACAACCATCACCATCGTCACCAAAGGCAAAGGCGCCCCGTATAGCCTTAACAGACTGCTGCGGCAAGTCCACGGCACGTGAGAGGGTGTGTGGCCAACCCCACGCCTGGCAGCCTTTGTCTCCTACAGTGCTGATGTTTACACACCGAGTACTCATTTAAGGCCGAGTCTACCTACGGGAGACCCAAGACCAGTGTAGATATTCAAAAATGTTGATGGTCGCGAGCAGGAACGAAACTCGGTCCGGCGGGTTAATCGCACAGTGCGCTAACCACTGCGCCACCGCCCCCTCCACCGCCTCCCCCCACCCACCCCAAGTTAATTCACAATTACCCTGTTCATTCATTAATGAGTCTCAATCCAGAGCTCCCACACAGCGAATTATCATCAACATCTCTCCCCGCGTCGCTCTCTCCCCGTGCATCCCTCTCTGTCCCCGTGTCTCCCCCAACACGCGTCTCTCACTCTCCGACTCTCCCCCCGTGTCTCTTCCCTGCTCCCGTCAGCTCAAAGCACAGATCACGCGTCTACCACGCACATAAAGACCAACACGCCCTCCCTGCAATGTAGCCTTCAACACATTGTTGGGGCAAGAGCTGTCAG